TATCCCCTCTTCCTTACCGGGGATTGAACTCAGTACCTTATGCTTGCGAGGTAGGCACAGCACCACTGAGCTAAATCCCAGCCCTTCCAATTATATTTTTATTGCTTTGATATTCATTCATCTTGGTTGACTTTTTTGGGGGTCTAGTTTCATTTGGACAATTTTAGAATTTTATCAAGTTAGGTAATAACCACCATTCCCCCTATTTACACATATATCCTGGCCTTTAACTACTTTTCAGTGTAAAGGAAATCCAGGAAAAGCAAAAGTTTTTATTTTTCATCTATTTTTTCAGAAACATATAATTTGGCTCTTTATTTTTAAATTATATAGAGCACTTTATTTATGGTCTACTTGCTCTAGGTAATTTTAGAGACCTACTCATTAACTCAATAGTCAGTACAAAACTTTACTCAAAGTGGATGACAGAAGAAGAGGAGGGGTAAAATTAACATACCTTTTGTTGTAGAAAACTAGAGATATTGAGTTCATAAATTCATTCTGACCTTTCCAAAATTCAAAACAAAAAGGAAACAGAATCATTACATAACTTTGGTGTCTGTCTATCTGTAGGTAAGGAGCAGTTTACCAAGGTGTGATGGGGAGAAGGAATTATGCTTCATGGATAGATGCCTTTTCAGATTTACAAGATTTTAAAAATCTCCTAAGTATCTATTTTTCCATTTTCTCATATTAATTCCATTCCCTTCTTTCCTTTCCCCTACCCCTCCCACTTCCCCTTCCCCTTTGCCCCTTTTCTTCCTATTTCACATCTATTATACGTTTTAGTCTTTATTTACACTTTCAGTTCCTCACACTAGAGAAACTGTTTGGTATATACACAAGTGTGTCCTATTTATTTCACTTAAGAGTACCACCTCAATGTGCATCCATTTAGCTATAAATGTTCTAATTTCTCATTTTTTATGGCTGAGTGGTACTCCATTTTATTAAAAAACCACATTTTCTTGATCCAGTCTCCAGTTGATGGTCATTTGGGCTGTTTCCAAGTTTTAGCTATTACAAACTGTGCTACTATGAACATGGGTGCACATATATCACTGTGGTATGATTCTTTTAATTCTTTGGGGTAGATCTCCAGCAGTGGAATAGCTGGGTCAAATGGGACTTCCAGTCCTAGTTCTTTGAGGTATCTCCATACTGATTTCCACAGTGGTTGCACCAGTCTACACTCCCACCAGCAGTGGAGCATGATTCCGTTTTCCCCACAGCCCCGCCAGCATTTGTTGTTGGTTGATTTCATGATAGCAGCCATTCTTTCTGGTGTGAGGTGGAATCTCAGCACTGTTTTCATTTGCATCTCTCAAATGACCATTGATGTTGAACCTTTTTTCATTTATTTGCCATTTGTACTTCTTTGTCTGAGAAATGTCTGTTCATTTCAGATGCCCGTTTTCGGATTGGGTCTTTAAATTTGGCGGGGGTCTGATCTTTTTAAGTTCTTTACAGATTCGAGATAGTAGACCTTTGTCTGAGGAAGAGCAGGTGAAGATTTTTTCCCACATTGTGGGTTGTCTCTTCACGCTGCTGGTGGTTTCTCTTGCTGTGCAGCTTTTTTAATAAGAAGAGATCCCACTTGTTGATTGTTTGTGCTAGTTCACGGGCATCTGAGGTTTTGTTCATAAAATCTTTTCCTACACCAGTGTCTTCAAGAGTTCTACCTAACCACTGTTCCAGCTGGTTCAGTGTTTCTATTTTAATATTTAGATCTTTAATGCATTTCGATTTTAGTTTAGTGCATGGCAAGAGATATAGGTCTAGTTTTAATCTTTGGCAAGTTGAAACCCAGTTTTTCCAGCACCATTTATTAAAGAGGCTATCTTTCCTCCAGTGAGGGTGTTTGGCTCCTTTATCGAAGATGAGGTGGCGGAGTGTGTCTGGAGTTGTTTCTGCATCTTCTAATCTGTTCCACTGGTCCTCAAGTCTGTTTCTTTGCCAGTACCATGCTGTTTTTATCACAGTAGCTTTGTAGTGTAGTTGTAAGTTGGGGATTGTGATACCCCCTGCCATGTGTCTGTTACCTAGAATTGCTTTTGCTATTCTGGGTCTCTTCTTGTTCCAAATGAATTTTTGGATTGTTTTCTCAAGGTCCATGAAGTATGCTGCTGTAAATAGGGAGGGATGGAGGGGTTGAAGGGAGGTCTGGGCAAGGGTGAAAAATAAGAACCAAGAGAGATTATGTAAAAGGTGCAAATTTCCAATTCTGAATGTCATTATATCGTATACTTAAAATGTACCAATGATTAGAATGAATAATTGATAATGCAAAATAGGAAGAAAAGGTCCAAAGGGGTAGGGGTAGTGGGAGGGGCAGGGGAAAGGATAGAAGGGAAAGGAAAAATGCTGAGAAATGGAAAAAATGGAAACAAAGTCTTTGTAAATAGGGAAGGGTGGAGGAGGTGAAGGGAGGCCTAGGAATGGGGAAAAATAAGAACCAAGACGCATCATGTAAAGTACAAGTTCCCAATGAGAAATGTAAATGTGTTGTATACCTAAAATATACCAGTAAAAGAATTTAATAAAAATATAAAATAAAATCTCCTAAGTATGTCATGTAGTTTGAATCTCCTAAATATGACTCTTTATGTGGCAGAAAGAACTTTTTATATGTAGAAAAATATTCTTATTTTTTATAATAATATGGTAAAATTTGCCAGTCTCTGGTAATAACCTAAAGAGATGCCATTCTTTTTTTTTTTTTTTTTTTGTACTGGAGATCAAACTCAGGACCTTGCGCTTGCAAGACAGGTGGCAGAAGAGTTGCCATTCTTAAGTGTGGAAGATAATCTAGTAAATAAGTTTATTAAAGGAATTTGAATATGGGACTACATGAGATAAAAATGTGATAGAATCCTAAGTAGGCTATTGTTTTAGAATTCAGTTTTATAAATAGCACTATATATTCTGGCCATTTAGTGGATATTAGTAAATATCTTCCAAAAGACTATCTAAAGTGGTTTAACAATGTACAAATTGAATGATAATTAGTTTTCACTAATTACTGTCTCTGATTTTGTCTATCCAAATAGACTATTACAGCCAGACTCAGAGCTCCTACAGTCTTAGCTATTGGGAAGGCTGAGGCAAGAAGATCACCTAAACACAAGACCATATTGAGCAACATAGACTCCGTCTCAGGATCGGGTGGGGGGGGTGCAAATAGATGGACGAGTATATAAGAGGTTTGAGGGCTAGAACTCTATTACCTGCTCGTAGTTACTCTTATTGCCTAACCGTACTTTGAATTACTTTCCATTGTAATACATGCTGTTGGTTGTTTTCATTTCTTCTCCAGTGTTCTTAGTTTTGTTCAGAAACATTATTTTAATCATCTCCTTGCTAAAGTGCAATTTTATTAGATTTAATATTCTGCCTAGTCAAGCACATTAGGAAGTTCTACTTTAGGAAATCAAAAAAAGATCAAGTATTGCTTTTGATAACCTTTACTTCTTTGATAGTCTCAACAATGTTGGTAAATATTTGTTAGCTTTTAAGTTATATGGCAAATGTTCTATAGAAATCAGTTAAATTAGACTATGTGTGGAGACAGATAAATTGTAATTAAAATTACATTAGGTTCTGTCTTCAGTAAAGGAATTGTTGAATACTTCTTCTTCGAGCTATTATGTTAACATTTTAAATAATGGAATGTTATTTTCTTCTTGCCTACTAATAGCCTTAGTTTTTAAAACAGATTTAATAAAGTCTCCATGAAATTCACTTATTTTCAGTGAACAATATCATGATTTTTTCTTTTTTTGGGTAAATGTAGTTTTGTAACTATTATTACCACAATCTAATTTTAGAACAGAAATGTCACTCCAAAAAGGATGAATGTGCCCATTTGTAGCAGTTCTTTATATCCTTAGCTTATCGTGCTTAATAACTTTTTTGCAATAGACTATATGATAAAAACTGAGTACTACATGAGGTCTCTATAGCTGTTTATTTGTTTTAAAAGTTAATTTAGAACATGGACATTTTATTTGATGATATTTCTTTATTTGGACACCAAAAGTATTTAATGAGAGAAAGAATGTTAAGAATAATTTGAGTAAAATGGATTGCTTTTGAGAAACGAATTTCAAGATTTGCTTCTAGTTTGAATGCTACAAATTAACCAATAAGTAGAAGGAAGTTATTGAATAAGTTTATAAAATTATAAATTTATTCAGTGATTTGAATTTGAAGGATTTAGTAGAGACTAAGATTTTTATATACTGTTTTGCAAAAATTATGATAAAATTAACCTGTCATTGTGCTATTTTCTTTATTTTAGCTTCCCAGAATCAAGAACGGCTATGTGCATTTAAAGATCCATATCAACAAGACCTTGGGATAGGTGAGAGTCGAATCTCTCATGAAAATGGAACAATATTATGTTCAAAAGGTAGCACATGCTATGGCCTTTGGGAGAAGTCAAAAGGGGACATAAATCTTGTAAAACAAGGCAAGTAATACTTTTCTTATCTGAAATAGATTTTTTCATACAATTGAAGTTTATCGAAAAAGGACATAGACAGAAAAATAGTAAATTTTAAAATGTGTGTATCCTTTTGTATATATATTTACCCATAAGCCACAAATTTGTAAAAGAATTTAAATAATATCTTTATTATTATAAGTTGATACATGCTCAAGTAATATTTTAAAGATACAGACAACTACAAAGAAAAAATAAAAGCCTACAATTCCATGCTGTTTTTTTAAAATTAATTTTATTGGTACTCTTGATATACATAATAATCACATTCATCATAGGGAATTTGTGCCTGTCTCTGACAGGTTGTCACTATGTAGTTCAGGCTGGCATTGAACTTGTGATGATTTTCCTGCCTTAGCCTTCCAAGTGCAAGGGTTACAGGTGTGTGCCACCATGCCCAGCCTACAATTCTGTACTCTTCCCCGCCCCCACGGGAGATCGAACTCGGGTCCTTGCGCTTGCTCAGCAGGCAGTGAAACCATTGAGCTAAATCCCTGGCCCAATTCTGTAGTCTTAAAAAGTATTTTCTTTCTGTTAGTTTATCCTCTTCAGGTGTATTTTCTATATACCTTTACATTTTTATGCACATGTGTTTTCTTTTTTTCAGAATTAGAGTAATTATCATCTAAATAATTTCATAGTCTTTTTCTCCATGTCTTTGGCCTCTGAAAATATTTTTAACATCTGCACATTTCATTGTATCATGGTTTATTTACACATGTTGGACATTATGAACATTATGTCATTTTTACGTTTTCACTGTAGTTAGTATGTAGTGAACAACTTTGAACATAGATCTTTATATCTGATTGTTTCCTTGAAGTAGATTTCTTGATGTAGAATTTTTAGATTATAAAATATCTGAGTATTTTAAAGGCTTTGCATAGGAATTGCCTTGTCACTTTCCAAAAATACCATCATTTTTCTTCCCTGATGGATTGTGTGTGTGTATGTCTGTATCATGGAATCCTTGTTATGATTGGATTTTTTTTTATTGCATATATATATATATATATATTTTTTTTGTTGTTGTTGTTGTTGGTACCAGGGATCGAACTCCAGTCCTTGTGCTTGCACAGCAGGCGGCGAAACCACTGAGCTAAATCCCCGGCCCAATTGCATATTATTTTTAAACCTAGAACTACTGGTAACCTTATTGGTACTTTAGTAATCCTTAGAATAATGATACAATTAAACATTTTGTTGGTGCCTTTTTTCCTTGTGAAATGTCTGTGATATTTTTTGCCATTTTTCTGTGTTCTTTTTTAATTGATTTGCAATATTGTTTTATAACTTGTATATACTCATATTTATTGTAATTCTTATTTTGTTGTTTTTCTTTTAGTTTTTTAATATATTTTTTATTTTATTATTACATAAATTGCAATTCATGCAATTTATAGTCGTCTTTGGGAGTAGTTACATGTACATATTGCAGCTTGTTTCTTCTTTTTTTTTTTATTCCCTTCCCTTCCCCTCCCCTTCTCCGATTCCCCTATCCCCTTTTTCGTACTTCTTGATATTTGTCCTAACTAATGTCATGGGATATAGTGTTTATATTAATTGGGGTTATTAGGTCCCTGTCCTTTTAGTTTTCTTTATCATATTGTCTCCCAACTTATTTATATTAATACTGGTTTTTAGGATGTTGGTCTCACATTGGAGATCCCCAAGAGTGTCACTATGAAGAATGTGTGGTAACTACCACCCCCTCCTCGATTCAGAATGGAACATACCGTTTTTGCTGCTGTAGTGCAGATTTATGTAATGTCAACTTTACCGAGAATTTTCCACCTCCTGACACAACTCCACTCAGTAAGTAAAGTGACTTTTCTTTCTAATTCCTTTTTCCAGAGATTTGGAAAGTATAAAACAAACATTCAGGGTTAACAGGAGTGAGAGGGAGAGCACCAGCATTATAAAATGATATCTGCCTAACGTTTGAAATCTAAGAGAAATTCATTAGGACTGGAAAGGCATCAATATATTGCCAAATTAGTTGGAGTCAAAATATAGTACTGCTATGGAGGGGAATTTGGCAGTATTAAGAAAACTGCACCTATGCTCAGTGACATGCGTGTAGTCCAGCTGCTTGGGAGGCTGAAGCAACAAGACCACTTGATCCCAGGAGTTACAACCAGCCTGGGCAACATAGATACTGTGTTGAAATAAGATAAAACAACTCAAAATAAGCAATGCCAGAAAACTAAATGTGTGTTTACTCTTCCACGTTGCATTCCCATTTCTAGGAATTTATCTGGAAGATACATCTTCAATAGTATGAAAATACATATAAATAATTATTCATGGCAAGACTATTTATTTATTTAGTTAGTTAGTTAGTTTGTTTGTTTGTTTTTGGTACCGGGGATCGAACTCAGGACCTTGTGTTTTTGAGGCAGGCCCCAGAACCACTGAGCAAAATCCCTGGGTGCAGTACTACTTATAACTGCATAATATTAGAAACTACCTGAAAGTCCACAAATATACAGTTATTAAAAATATACTATAATATATAACGTGCAATAAAATACTAACAATATAGCTGTAAAAAAAACCCCCAAAAAACCCCTAAGATCTCTATTAACTGACATAAAGTGATTACCAGACAATATTAGATGTAAACAAGCATGCAGTATATAGTATACTGTCTTTTATGTAAGACAGAAAGAGAAATAAGAAAGCATATTTATTATCTGCTTATCTTTACAAAAAAAATAAAAATGGATGTTAGAAAATAATGGATGTTAGAAAATGGATGTTACAAGGAATGGAAGGAATGGGGCAGAAAAGATATGAAATGAGTGACAGTTCTCTGACTACAGCTTTTTCTCTTTTTGGTACCGGGGATTGAACTCGGGACCTTGCGCTTGTGAGGCAGGCTGCGGAACCACTGAGCTAAATCCCTGGCCCTTGACTACAGCTTTTATAAAAATAAAGTTAAATCATTAAAGACTAGAAGGTAGAAAAACTGAAAAAAACATGTGAATCCAATGGAATGTCATATAAATACTAAAACCACACTGGAGGGGAGAAGGAAGAACTAATCCAACTAATTCATAAACATGGTATTTGACTATTTATATTCTTTTGGGCAAGATGGGATAGAAGGAATCAAGTGGAGAATGATAAACAAATCCTGAGCTCTTTTTAGATTTGGTTTTAAGTAGTATGAGTACAACATTTCTGAAACAATGGTAGGAATAAGAAAATGGTGATGTTCTTGAGAACCAGCATTCTTGTGGAAGAAATACGATACGTAGTTGTAGAAGTCAAAAGAGAAGCCTATGCAAATAAATTGCAATTAGAGTTATTGGTATGGACGTAGGACTTTAAAAATATGCATATGAATATGTTACATGTATGTTTATTGTGTCTGTATATATAATATATATGCATATGTGTATGTATTAGTACACATATACATTTATATACACTTTTGGAGTAGTGGAGATCAAACAAAGGACCTCATAAATGCTAAACATGTGCTCTGCACTGAGCTACACCTCCAGGCCTCATACATATATTTCTTATCTCTATTTGCTCAGAAGGACAAGAAGCAAAAGTACCCCACATCAGTAATAAGCATTCATAATGGCCAGATATTAGTCTCTAATACCATTCTAAACTAACAGAAATGAGGGCTCCCTGAGAAAATGCTTCCAGGGTAAGAATAGGATAGCTTCAAAATAAGCATGAACTCTAATGCTAGTAAGGAAGGAAAATAGTGCCCCAAAATATGATGGGAACTTGTCACAAGTTGTCACAACTTGTTGACTAAATTTGGGTCAGTTTGAGTGCTAAAATAAATTCAATAATGAATTATAAATCATTGGAAGGAAAATAAATTCATGAGTAGAATGTCAATATATAACCTACAATTAGATGATTCAAAAAACAAAACACTGCATATATGTATAGATGTGTAGAAAGTGAAAATTACAAAGCAAATAGGATAAAATGGTAACAATAGGTAAATCTGGGTAAAGGTATATTGTATGGTGTTTTCTTTCTTTTGTTCTTGAAATGGTTAAGTTTTAAATCATTTCCAAATAAAACATTTTAAAGCTTAAAAAGTTATTTTGTTTTTTGAGACAAGGTCTTGCATTGTAGTCCAAGCTGGCCTTGAACTCACTGTGCAGCCCCGGCTGGCCTTGAACTCATGGCATTTCTCCTAACTCAGCCTCCCAAGTGCTGGGATTACAGGCATCTGCCACCATGCCTGGCTATGGAAGTTAAAACGGTTTTAAAAATTGAAATACAGCACATCTTATGAATTCTGTCAGTCAGCAAATTTTATTAGTGCATACTCTGGAATCTTCTATTCTGGATTATTTCCTTTAACTAAATGGAAAGTAATAGGAAGTTTTCTCTCTGGGGTTTCTACCTACTCAAGGCTCTTAGATTTACTAAGAGATTGGACTGAATTGGGTACATTAATTTTCCTCAAACAAAAGAAGTTAATTTTCATTTGTACATTTGGCTAGATGAAGAGGTGAAATGAATTTGTACATACTGTACTTATCTTCAGAGCTCTTTACAATTTCACCTGGATCTTGGTTTGTGTTAATCTTTTGATATAAAAGCAGTATTACCAGCTGAGGAATGAATGCTATCTTGGTAAAAAGGCAAAGTGTTTAAGTAAAGAGCTATAACTTGGGAGCATTAGTCCAGTTTATGTACTTTGTTCTTCAAACAAAAAAATTAAGTCAAGTTGAAGTTAGCAGACAAGATGAATATTGGCTTTTTGTATCACTCAAGAAAAATAACACTAAAAAACCCCACCTTTAACCTGCAAATGCTGTGTTTAAACAAACGAAAAAGTTTTCAGTGTAGAAGTTTAAAGAAATAAAATATACAATTAAGCAGAGATTTTTGTTCATGGTCATATTTATTAATAAGAAAGTTTATTGATTGTTTTTTCTTTAAAGTTTTAAAAATTTTGTTTTAAAAATATATTTTAAAAATTATGAAAAACATGGCACAAATTTATAAAAGATAAAAGGGACAGTGTTAGGTGACTATTGGTGAGAAACATTACATGCTATTTCTATAGTTTTAAATCACATATTTGTGCATTACTTGTATAAAGTAATTTTTTTGTTATTTTGGAAAAAATAGAAAAAATGCCATAAGGTGGGCACAGTGGCACATCTATAGTTCCAGCTACTGAGGAAGCCAAGGTGGAAGGATCCCTTGAGCCCAGGAGTTTGAGGCCAACCTAAGCAATATAGTGAAACCCCATCTCCAAAAATGGGACATAATAGGAAATACAGATGACATAAAGCTGGGCTTGGTGGCACATACAAGTAATCTCAGCACTTGGGGGGCTGAGACAGGAAGATTGCCTCGAGTTTGAGACCAGCCTGGGCTACATAGTTCAAGGCCAACCTGAGCTATATAGGGAGACCCTGTCTCAAAAAGACAAAAAAGACATAAGTAGAAAGAAATCATCTCTGATGTTCTGAAAACTCATATGTAGTCATTATCAATATTTTGACTATTTCTTTCCAGTCTTTTCTCTTTAATTTTTGTGTATTTGTGCCAGTAACATACATGTCTTGCTTTTTTTTACCATAAGTATTTTCAGATTATTATATGTTTCATAATAGTTATATTTCATGTGAACTAGATATTTTCCTTGTCCATTCCCTTATTTTTGGACAGTTAGACTTTCTAATTTTTTATTACAATGAGTATCTTTGTATATATAGCTTAGTATATAATAATATAATTCCCAGAATTGGGATTTCTGTATTCACAGGTATCAATGTGTTAAGGTTCTTCATGTATCATCAAATTGTTTTTGAAATGATTGAAATAGTTCCTACTGCCATCAGTGATATATGAGAGTGTATATTTCATTATATCTTCATCTGCAGTGGTATTATTTAAATAAAACTTTATGGAGATGATTTTGAAGAATGATTATTAATTTTTATTAGTGAAATACATAATCATTCTGTTGTTCACTATTGAATTTTCTAATATTCATTGTTCATTTCTAATTAAAAAATTTTAAAAATTTTAATATTTTTAAAATGTACATATTTATGGGGTGCCAAGTGATGTTTCAGTACATGTATGAATTAGATAATATTTAAATCAAATTAAGCATTCTTTTCTCTTAACGATTATTTCTGAACAGTGAAATGAGTTACATTTGAGATAAATGATGTAAAATAGTTTGAAATCTGGTCATTTCACCTCTTAATTTTCTGTTGATACCTTTGGGGTGGCAGAAGCTACATTTTAAGTAGAAAAAGCAATTTAATATGCATTTTAAAACTTGTCTTTTGCAAAATCTTTTTGCCTTAGTTTTTGGGGTTTTTTTGGTAGGGGTACCAGGGATTGAACTCAGGACCTTGCACTTGCAAGGCAGGCATAGTGCCAAGCCTTAGCTTTTCTTAATGACAGCTTTAACATCTTTCAGTAAAAGTCTAATGTTCATTTTATTGTGTGAAAATTTTACTTTAATTAAGGTGTTAAAATGTTCATTACTTCAGGCCGGGGATTTGGCTCAGTGGCACTGCGCCTACCTGGAAAATGTTCATCACTTCATTTTCTGAGAACAGAGTTAACTGAAACATCAGCTCTGTACCTCACATCATCTTTGCCATGGCTGATAAAGCCTTGTTTTTGCCTAGTTTTTTATACTTTGAAAGTGCTATCACCTCTATAATTGAGATGTAACCTGAATATTTTTAAGTGTTCAAGTTAAGTTGAAGTTAGCAAATGAGATGCATATTGGCTTTTGGATTCATCTCAAGAAAAATAACACTAAAAAAATCACATTTAGCCTGCAACTACTGTGT